CCCACCCCAACCACCCTGTGATTGGCGTTAAAATAGATCTGTATATATTTATATATGCTCGTATCAACAAGGGGGCGGCGAGATGCGCGGGACGGGACTGGTGCCGACCTCCCGCAGGTGGTGGGCGGGCGGGGCCGTGGTCTGTCGCCGGTTTGAGACGCGTGGGCGTGGAATGTCAGCTCATCATGTCGTTGCTGTTGACGCCGCACGTTGAGTTCTTCATGCTGTCGTTCACTTCCCGCCGGAACACCGACAAGTTCTGCGTGAACCTGCACCGGCACCCAACATGTTAGGGACACGCCACTTGCACACTATGCTCGCAAGCAATCAACGGAGGTCATATGGCGACTGCGCAGCCAAGATGCTAATGGCCTTTTTTGTTGTTGTTTGTCAACGGGAAATTCATGCCACAGGGGTTGTGTCACGGTAAGAATGAGGGCAACTGCAGCCAAGTAGAAATTGTGGAGCTGTTATGCCTCGATAGGCTCACATAATCAGCGAAGCTGCCGTTAGCATCTTAGTAATGGTTGGCTGTCTCCCAGTCTCCCCACCATGCAAAGACGAAGGGCAGCTGCATCCACATGGAGACTCTGGAGGTCGGATGCTAACATGCTAAGCTACCGATAACATGCATGTTTGCTTGTTCTGAAGCCAAATGGTTAACTCCGAGCACACGGGGATCAGTTGTGGTGTGTAAGAAGTTAGTAAGCATAGGCTTAGTCGCATGGCTAAGGACAATTGCCAGGAAGTATGCCGGCCCGACTCATTTATTGCTCGGCCGATTCTAATCTTTTCAAAAATAATGATACACAGCTGAAAATTTTGCCAATTGAATGCAGATGGACAGTTTTCTTCCTTACTTCGATGGTGTGAATTTTATTTCTGGCAAATCTGGACGAGGCCTGAGAAGTAAGCGCAGGAGTGCTGCTCACCTGTCTCTGTTCTTGGTGAGCAAGTTGCGTTCGATTCCTTCCATGAGGTTCTCAAAGCAGAGATGCATGGCCTGCTGCTTCTCTGGAGGTTGGCTATTCACGATGCTGTTGCGCACGTCCGCAAAGTACTGCAGATCACAACACATGTGCCGCGTCAACACGCGCTCTGGAGGTATGCGCACATGCAACACGTTACCTTCTCGTTAAGGAGTATGAGCCCCAGTAGTGGTCGGGACATGGACCACTGGTTGCGGCAGTCCTCGAAGATGATGATGTTCAGCACAGTGGACAGCATCTGCACCGGCCGCCACAAAAGGCACGCGGTCACCAGGCGGCAGTCGCCTCTTTTGTGACTTTTTGCATTTGAGCGGCGACGGCGTTACCTGCTGGATCATCTCGGGGTGCTGCTGCATGATGTGCAGGAAGCGCTCGTCGGTGGCCATGGGCGTGGCTCGCTTCTTGGTGGAGCGCGAAAGCTGCTTGAAAAGATACGTGACCATGTGGTCCAGGCTGGAACAGCAGCCCGTGCACACCATCGTGTCTGCGGGGGGGAGACACAGACCAAACGTCAGCTTTTGCCATGCTGGGAAAGAAAAAGAGCGGCTGCCTCGAATCTGTCAAGGCGTCAAAGCGCACTACATACCGAGTGCGGTGAGCCCTTCCGAAATGGACGACAGGATGTACATGACCATGTGAGGCTCCAAGCTGGCGATAAAGTTCATGTGGTCCTGGGTGAGGACCTCCAGCAGGGAGTAGAAGGACTGGCTGAGCTTGGGGTAGTCCTACGGGGGTCACAGCGTTACTATGAGGTCACGACCAAGGAAGCCGCCGCGAGGACGCACGCGCGCACACACCAGCAGGTCGCTGTGAGGGATGGACAGCAGCAGCTTGATGAAGGTCTGCAGGGCGTTATCCAAGGCGTCGTCGCCGTACAGGCGGAAGACGCCGAAGTTGACGTAGTTGCCGCTCAGCACCGCCTTCAGCATGGCGAAGCACACGCTCACACCCTTCAGCTTCACGCCGTACGCACGATCCTTTGGTACGTCGCCCAGCGTTAGGATGCGGTTGCCTGGGCAACAAAGCGAGCCGTGCCAAAAGTCAAACCACACAAGGAAAAACAAAAACAAACAGGTTTCTACTCTTGAAATTATTTTCTAGGACATTTCCAGGACTCCCCGCTACAGTCCGAGTCAAGTTACATCCGCGGATATACGTGACAGCGACATACTGTCCGTCGCCAATGCGCGTGTCGCTGACATACGCGATGTCAGCAGTCCTCACCGTAGGTTGTGATCATCTTGCTGGTCTCCCGGAAGAGCAGGATGCCATTTGGCGAGGATACGTCAAACTGCAGCCTCTGCGACCTGCAATGCAAAGTCACCACAAAGTCACACACACACAAAGAAAATATACAAGTGAGGACAACACACACAAACTCCTGTCCTCATAAAACCAGAGCATCATACAAGGTTATCCAGATTAATGGCCGACGAGGCGTACGATTATGACGGCACACACGCCCACCTGTTGTGAACGAGCTCAGCCATGAGCTTGAGCACGGGCGTGGTGCACGCCGGGTCGTGGTACCACAGCTCGATGGCCCGCTGCAGGATGGGCATGTAGGCCGGATATCTGGCCATGCAGGTCAAGGTCCCATCAAGCGCTACCTTGGCAAAAATACACACACTCCAGCTAAAAGAAACTAAACTAATCTCAAGACCACGGAAAGGATACATCCAGTCGAAGAGCATCATGAAGCTGGTCTTGGCGTTGAAGGCAAACGCGATCCCTCGCAAGTCCCGGACCAGGCCCACCAGAGTCCTCTGCAAGACAAAGTGCCACAGGGCTCCACGTTAGGACCGCTGACGCTTAAGCTGACCTGGTGTATGTGTACTCGCGTCACCTTAGCCTCCTGCTCGTTGAAGGTGTTGGTGCTCAACATCTGGGCCACGGCTTCGAAGGCCACTGTCAACGGCAGCATGAACTGCTCAAACTGCTCCTCGTCCTCACCTGCATCAATACATGCACACCAAAATGCTGCTTAGTATCACCCGAGAGGAGTTCAGTTACATTGAGCGTGCTCGTATCTCAAGTTCGCGCTCGCACGCCAAAACCAAACATAATCCGCCCGAGCAATAGCTCGTGTCTCGAAACACTCTGAGTTAGGGCACTCCTATTAAGGCGCCTCGGAAGTAACCTGGCAGCAAGTTGGTGCCCAAGCACACCTTTTCTCCTCCCAAATTTGCCAAAATGTGGGACACAGCGCTTACCCAGATCGACCATGAGGAGGCGCCCCAGCGCGGTGTAGAAGGTGGTGCGGCACCTCATGTCGCTCAGGTTGGACTGGTTGTTGACACCCAGGAAGGAGAAGTGCTCGCTCTGCTGACAAAGCACAAGGCAAAGAGCCGTGGTGGCGGCGGCACTGTCGAGGAGTGAGACGGGGACCAAATACTCACGGTGTGATTGTTGAGCATGAACTGCACGGCGCTCAGCTTCACCAACTTGCGGACGCTGCTGTACGTGCACGTGGCCGTCAAGGACAAAGCAGTGTCAAGCAAAGACCTCAACCTGTTGACGGGAGCTGTACGCCAAAAGGATTATCTGCCACGAAAAAATTCCAATTGAAATCAACCCTCCCCCATTTTGTTTCATCAAAAACAATCATCCCAGGAAAAAGTCTCATGTGTCGGTTTCCGTGACGACAACAGATGACCCTAACGCTCGCTTGGCGCCTAAAAGGGCACGGTGAACATGCATGCGCTCGTCGGCAAGGATATCCCAAGGAGAGGTCGTTGAGGAGCTGCAGGGTCTTGGAGGTGATGGGTTCACACTGGCCCCAGTACTTCAAGTTGGTGATGCTGGAATGAGGGGGGTGGGGCATTTTCAGGAATGTTAGCATTATTATGACAATTAGGAATTCCTTCGATAAGGGCAGGAGATGAAGAAGGAGTAAAAGGAGGAAGTAGACCTCTAAGAAGTAGAAGTAGACTATGTAGGAAGAGAAGTAGAAGGAGATGAGGTAAAGAAGTTGAAAAAGAGACGCGTTGCCGTCACTCACATTTTGCCAATGAAGACGCTCAACACCATGGTCTCATCGTTTAGGCCCAGCACCTCCGACAGACGACGATACAGCTGCAATCAAACACACGCACGCGTGTACATGGCATCGGTAAACCAAACAAACAAAAACACGAAAAGGGGTAGTTTCAGTAATGCTGATTGTCAACTTCAAACCGGAGTAAAACAGTCGTGATTCTTTGTCAAGATATCTACGCAACTCTTGTTTGGTCTGCTATCTGGGGAATCCCGTGTAGGATTGGCTAAGTAGTTTCAATTCCAAATATTCACCAATCAACTCGCATGTTACGAAGGGTTCTGAGTCGATGTCTCAAAACGACCTTAAAGCGCCAACTAAAATGGCACAAATTTGGGGCGAGAAGAGCAGTCGAAAGACGCCCTAATTGTGATGGCTGTGGACATGGGCGGTTCCTTTCAAACTGGTTACGACATTTGCCAGCCGGGTAACGAGCAAACGATTGCCAATCATTTCATTTGCGACTCACGGGTCACAATGGGAGCATTTTCTTCCCCCGGGAGTCGTCGGCGAGCCTCCTCACCTTGGACGATTTCTGCACCTGGTCACCGATGTAGATCTTGCGGAACTGCTCGAAGAAGCTGAGCATGGCCAACTCCAGCCTCTCGTTGCCGGCCTGAGCCAGCCGCGAGTCGGTCAGGTTCATCAGCTGCAGCACCCTGAGCGGCACAACCAGAAGGAATGTCGGCGTGGAGCGGAAACCCACCACGGGCAAAGGGGAAGGACAAGACCAAGGGGGGGGAGACGACAACAAGAAAAAGAAAGAAATGAAGGGCTGAGGACGAAGAAGGAGATTGCAAAAACGGCTGCGCACCGGCAGACGAGCTCCCCGTCCATGGCGTCTTGCTCGTCAGTGCTGGCGAAGGACACGCGGCCGCCGATCACCGCCCCGATGATGTAGACCAGCCAAGTCAGGCGACCTAAGAGGGGGGAGGAGAGGAGTGAGCGTCAGGGGCAACAAGCGCACAGCAACCTGGCCGGCTCGTCCGCAAGCCACGCACCTTCCTGCACGGTGACGTCGGCGGCACCCGAGTTGGTGGACTGGAGCAGCTCTTGGTAGCTCTGCGCCGCCTGGTCGAACAGCTGCACCAGGAGAGCGCACGTCTTCTCATACTCGCACCTCCCGATGGTGGACAGCTGGTCCAGCTGCTGCTGAACCAAGCCGGCGTCGTCCAGGGGGTCCTCCAGACCGTCTCTGTGACCACACGAGACCGTTAGAAAAGTTTTTTTTTTTGGTTTGAAATAAAATTAACCCTAAAAGCCTACCCAGATAAAACAGTGCGCCCCCTGCTGGCTCAAACTAGTGCTTACATGTGCACTGCAGGGAAAAGTCACATTTTCAAAATATAAAGCGGAGGAACACTGGAACTAATAAATTCATTCAACTGTTGATTAGTCCTTTCAATGAATCGGATACAAACTTTTTTCTTTTTAATTTCCATTCTTTTATTCAAAATCAGGACACTTTCAAAATGACATGACACTTTTGGCTACTTTGTTCGGTTATGTATGCATGTGTATGTAATACATATATGGTGGGTCGGTGGGGGGTGGGGGGGTTCTGACCTGAGGATGACATGGACCGACTCCAGCCGCGACGTGATGTAGGCCTTGGTGACCTCGGGGGTGTAGGTCTCCAGCAGGTGTGGCTCGGTGGCCTTGACGTACGGCACCGAGGCTGCCAGGCGTTGCCACAAACTCAGCAGGTAGTGCACGCTGTTGGGGGCAAACTCCCAGTGCTGAAACGACACCCACACGTCAACATAGTCCTCTTTTTTTTTTTTTTTTAATTGTCACAGAGACACAAAAAAAAAAATCAATCGCTGTCCACACACAGTAAAACTGTACTCGGTTGAGAGTTTGTGGCTACATAGAAGGACTTATTGTTGTTTTTAAGAATTTGGTTGAAAATTTTTTGACATGCTCTGTTGTGAAAGAGTTGCAAAATTTTGGGGGGGAAAAAAAACAACAAAAGAAAAAACAACTCTAAAAGCTGGAGTGGTGGTCTGCGGCTGGGCGGCTCACCTGCAGGCTGGTGACGGTGAAGTTGGCGATGAGGCGGATGACTTCGGGGTAGTTCTCCACCTTGACCAGCTCGCCCAGCTGGTAGTTGCTCTTGAGCCGCGCCAGCAGCCGGCAGAACTCGTGGTAATTGTTGGGGTCGGGCAGACACTGGGTGGGGGCCACACGAGCGAGGGGGTCACAAACACACGCAAAAGTGCACACGCGCTTCCCGGTGGGCGAGACGGACCTGCGGGTTGGCCAGTATCCTCTTGACGCCGTCCACCAGGTGCGACAGGAACTTGGCTCTCTCGGCATTGTTGAAGAGGGACCTCCTGACGGAAGCGATCTGGACCAGACATGACAGCACCTGCGCGGACACGGAGCAGAGCGGGGCGGGGTCAGCGCCGGGCAGGACTCGTTGACGGCTGACTGCTGCGTGTGCCACTCACCAGCGGGGAGAGAGAAGGCGGGATGGAATGATAAAGGTTGAAGAAGAGCTGCAGGGTGGACGAATCCAGGAAGGCTGCGCCAGCAATCAAAATAAAAATTAAAACCAAAAAAAAAAAAAAGTACAGTGTGTCTAGGGCTGGTGCTGTCAAATCGTCTTAGAATCAATTATTATCCTCAACCGAGTTGTCAATTCATTTGAGCATTGATGAGTTGTTGCACCGCGAGAGATGCTAAATCTCGCCCCCGAAACCAAAGGAACATCCAAAAACGATGCCAAAACGAACGCTACCTGAGCGCCAGGATGTGGGGATCTGCACCGTGCACAGGTCGTCGGACGACTCGTCGGTGGACGTCCCGATGAAGTCGTAGTTGAGGCAGTTGTAGCTCAGCTTAAGAAGCTGCATCAGCAGCCCGTGCTGCGACTCGTCGTTCAAGTTCAGGTTCTTGCCGGACGCCTGCCGCGCAAAACGCAACAATCGGACGCACGCCCGCACAACCTTTGAATAAATACCTAAAATTTCCGCCCGTCGACACGCCCCACCGGTCGATTGGCCGACGACCAATCCAACGTTGTACCAGGGTAAGGTGATAAATCAAGCATAATTCCTAACGACATTAAATTTGACTCGAGACTCGCTCCTTAAACTGTAAACGAATAGCGAACACGGATTTTGGGCTGTGAATGCAAATTTGACTCGACATGAACTCCTGCTTGAAGAAAGGTCACCTTGCTGGTCGCTACTGACTGACCTGTTTGAGGAGGTTGCAGGAGAGCGTGAAAATGTCAAAGAGGGACGAGTCCCTGAAGGACGAGGCGATCTTCCTGTGCTTGGTCAGCGGGTGCGCCGTGTCCGCCTGTCGACAGAGAGAGACCTATCAGGCGTCGGCGTGCGTCCGCCGGATACCCCGGCGCCCGCCTCCCCACACCCACCTGGTTGATCTCGTTGGTGAGCTGCGACAGGATGGTGACGCCGATGATGCAGTGCTCCACGCTGTCCTGCAGAAAGCGCGTGACGTCGGCGATGACGTTGCGGAACACATAGTCGTCCTTCTGCGAGTCGAACCAGCCCAGCTTGGTGATGCGGGCGTACAGCTGGATGAGCGCCTGCGTCACGAAGGCGGCCAGCTTGGGCCGCGTGGCCAGATAGTTCAGCACGTAGTTCCCTGTCGGGACATGCTGCGCGTCACAAGCGTGCCGAAGCCACGACAAAATGGCAACGTGGACGCTACAGCTGCTCACATGCGCTACTTTTAACTCATTCACTCCCAAAGACGTTTTTTAAACGTCTTTTCAGACTTGGTCTAGAATTGGCTGGTACTGAATGGGACATCAAGGAAAAACCTTTGCAAGAATATGATTTATTCGTCTCTTCTGCTGAATATTGCGGAAGTGGAATAAGAATGAAGCGGGTGAAAGGGTGTTTTGACCCCGTAGTGCCCTCGGCTTTCGACTGCAGCCGTCCTGGCTGCTCACCCGTTTTCTGGGTTGGGCCTGGTGCCAATGGCACTATTGTGTGCTATTGTGAGGGTGGCACTCACGAATGTCGATGCGCTGCTCCAGAGGAAGGGGGTTGCTGGTCCTTGACACCAGTTTGGACAAGCAGGTGGCCGCCAGCAGCTGCGAGTACGACGACTGCAGACACACAAACATGCTACATTACAGGGCACACGATTGTCATTAGGGTACCAGGTCGACGCGGCCTTATTTTAAGCTACCGGATTCTCATGGAGGCTGCCGATACAAATCACTGATACTTAAGGGGAGAAAATTGAATAAATAAAATCAAAACAACAAATCGGAAATTGAGTAAGTCCTTCTTGGCAGTAGTTGGCGCTATACTGGAGGACTTTGAACCTCCAGGTGAATTCCAATGTGCATCAGAAAGAAAGGACAAGCTGTCAATTGTGGGCCACCACAGCAGTCTGAGGTGTTCCGCACATGTCCAATCAAGTCAAAATGGTTGACATCCATTTTCGTGCAAACGGAGCGTGACTGAGCGTCGATCTAGAGAAATACATCATGTGGTCGAACGATTTGAAAATGGAAGCGCCCTGCTAAGTTGTCATCTATTTTGAGGATAAACATGTTGTGTCATCACTGATTGGTTTTATTTTTTGAGCCTGTCTCAGTCTTGTTTAGGTCTTGTTCTAGTCTCTGTTTCGACTGAGACAGTGGGGTCTTAAGTACAACACTAAGTCAGACGTTCAGTTCATCTGAAAGGGTGTGTGTGTGTGTGTGTGTGTGTGTGCGTGTGTGTGTGTGTGTGTGTGTGTGTGTGTGTGTGTGTGTGTTGGGGGGCGGGTTCCTCCTCCACTCCCAAATAAAAGCAAGCTTATGTGGCGTGGCGAGACTCACGCTTCCTCTCTCGAGCAGCAGCTGACACTTGCTGAGGCAGTCCGGCCCATTGGTGAACTCCACCAAGGCTTTCTCTGCTTGGTGGCGCACGGCCGTGTCAGCCGTCTCATACAGCTGCTTGCACAGGATCTCCAGCTGGGCGAGGCCCTGCGGCGACACACACGCGGCGCTTATCAGCACAAAACACACTCGTGCAACCCCACGCGTGGAGGGCGGTCACGTGAGCCACGTGTGCGAATTTCGCCGGCGGGATGTGTCGAGTCACACCGTCACGTCGCAAAAGATTCCACGGCGCCAAGTTTCAGCACGGGCTGGTATCCGACTCTAGCGATGTGACAACCGGGGGCGAAAGAGATACCAGCAATATCACAAGTACAGCTCTAAAATTTTATTTTTTGTGAAATGTTTAGATAAATAACTTTTTCACATTCAACACTCATGGGTAAACAGAAAATAAATAAGGAGGTGAAACAATTAATTTAGAATCAAATCAATTTTGATTATCAATGAATTGGTTTGAGACGTTGTTTGATTTGGAATAGTTAAAATCTTTGGAATTTCAGCCTTTCAACAGTAAATCATGTCAATTTTCTGTAATTCTCCATGGAAGCAGACTGATCATCTCTTGTGTTGAACTAAAATCAAGCAGTGGCTGACTTTGGACCGCAAGGATCAACATTTTTTGCCAATTTTCTGACAGACGTTAGGGACCAAATCAGGAAGTTGAAATAATGTGTTCAAATGAAAGTATGGCAATTAAAGCTGTTTTTAATCTGAACAATGGAAACAATTATAGGATGATTTATTAGCAACATAATCATTAGTTGTATCCCTATTTCAAACAGAGTAAATCAATTCGTGAGTAAATTAAGATTATATGTGGCTCAAGAATATTTGGGCAACATTATTGGGACTGAATATAACCCTTGAGAAGACAACCACCCATGTTCAAGTTGATTGAAAATTAACGTGGAGCGTTTGCGACACGCGAACCGAGCCGAGATCCATTTGAGCGAGCCCCGAACGCAGACGGACGCGTTTGAGGTGACGAGTGCGTGGACATTCCTGGACTTCAATCGGCGTCTAGTGCCAGAGAGCAGCAGTCGCGGCGGTTAGCTTAGCCACCTAGCGGGCTAAGTGGCCAACACGGCGCTGCTTAGTAACCAACATAAACAACGCGACAGGAAACGGAGTCGATTCGCTCGCTTCAGGCTCACGCACGCGCCCAGAGTCTTGTCCGTTTCTCCATCAAAAACAACAACAACGAGAACAACAAAGCGGGTTGTTTGCAACCCAGCGGGCGGGAGGAGTGTTGATGGCTCAGCTTATGCTAACGTTAGCATGGCTAGCTAGCGACTCGGAAAGCGTAGCAAAATATCCCGGGAGGAAACAATAGCAAAAAAAAAAAAAAAAAAAAAAAGAAAATTATTCTTTTCAATGCACCATGGTTTGTTTTATTTGTTTTGGTAGATTCTCATAAAAAAAAAAAAAGAGAAAGAAAAGAAAGGAGGAAAATGGGAGGTTCCAATGTCGTTTGTAAGCGTTCGGCAGGCGACCGAGGTATGCTGCCGGCGGGCGGGCAAAAGAAGGCACACGACCAGTAAGCTAGCCCGCCACAGTCGCCCTTAATTGTTGTCTCAGATACTGCCATTAGAAAAACGGGCGGCATTCGTCCGCGCGCAACACGCTCGCCTTCTGCCCGGGGACGCCTCGCGTCGAGAGCCCGCGCGGCGACGCCATCGCCGGGCTAACGTTGCGACAGCAGGCCACGCAGCGGCCGGCGGAGTCAGGCGACGGCAGAGTCCTTCACTGCTCCAGCGGGCCCGGCCCCCTCCGTCCGCCCGCGGCCTCCTCGCCGGGACCCCCGACGCCCGCGGGAGCCTCGTGGCTCCGTCCGTCCGTCGCGTGCCGACGTCGCGGCGGTTGCAAACACGCCAAGCCCCCGCTCACCTGCACATGATCCGCCATTTTCCCCCATTTCATGCACCTCTCACTCCGCTTATGGCTAGTCAAGCGCGCGCGACAGCGCCCCTGACGGCGGCCCCGCCACAGTACCGCCGACAACCAAACTCGATTTGGACTTAAAACCATTAATCCCATTTCGTCTTTCTTCGTTTCGGTAGTGCAGTCACTTTCGTTTCGTCCATTCGCTTTTTTTAGCAATATGAGATCACTGGATGAAAAACGGGTAAACCTGACTACGATTAATCTTATAGCCATTGCTCTTCATTTGTGGCAAACGCTCTTCCGAAAAGGCTACACCCACATTTCTCAACTTCAACTGTCCAAATTGAGGACTGTTCTATAAGATTCCCACCTCCTTCAACACTTTGACTTATTCAAAACATTACAACTACGACACATTCCAAAAGTTCCCACAAGTCCCCATTACCACGTTTTCCACGTTAAAATTCGCTCTCAGACATTACTGCCACCCGCTACAATATAAAACATTCTAAATTCAAAATGTGTTCCGTGTTTCATAATTCCAAAATGAGCTCTGGTCAGCATTTGCGTGCAAGTCCTAAAAAAATTGCAAAATCAAATTTGGGGTGTTTTTGGGGTTCAATGTTCCCTGTTTTTACATTGTTACATCATTATTAGTATGTTTTTATATTGTATGAACACATTTCCTGTTTTTTCCAGCTGCACTTGAGTTGGATCATAAAAGGCGGCCTTTCCGAACAGTTTGAACAAAAAACGACTCGCAATGCCGGGTAGAGCCTGTGGGAGGCAGTGTGGCGTCGCTACACTGACAGGCCAGTGTTTTGAAATGTCCCCGAAGAAGAAGCGAAACCGAAAGCGAGCAGCGGAGACGTCTAACACTCATTTCAGTCATCACTTTTGTTTATTCCTGTAAATGTTTAAATGATGTAATCTCGAAAATATTTTAATTACATTCGCTTCCGACGACATAACGCGTTGTTACAAGAATGTTACTGATGACACTGTGTTTACGTTACAACAGCAAAATACCGACAGTACTCCGCTTAATGTTATACGAGGGTTATGGCATTTTACACTTTTTGGAGGCCCATGACATCTGGAGCACACGGAAGCAACTGCTGCCAGGCCAAGGAAAAAACAAAACAACTTTTACCATGTTAAAATTAACGTTTTACTGTGAGAAGTTTAAATGTTAAAACGTGAGGTTTGACTTAAGTATTGGGCAAAACAAAACGAAGCAATTGCTTCCGGTTCAGGTCCGCCGTTATGAAACGTGACATTCATCACATTCAATATTATAGTCAACAAATATTAACAAAATAACCAAAACTAAGATCGAAAAAAAACAGTATAAAATAAATACAATTATATCAAAAATGTCCTTTGTTTTCATCTTTGTCAATAAATTTGATTCATTCTGAGCCTTTGGGTTTTTTTATTTATTATTTCAGTATAACTGTTTGGCCATAAAGAAGGGAGGTCAAACAGTTGTTTGGGAATTGTAGTTTAGTTTATTAAACAATACTTATTGTGACCTTTTTTATCCTGCATTCAACCAATACAGTATTCCATATGTGACGGGGGTCACAACTGTGATGTTCTCAAGCAAAAAAAGAGTTTTAAAACTAATAGAAATTGAAGCATTGAAGTGAAGCATTTTTGAAATACTTTAAAATCTAATTGGTTTAAAAAAACAAAACTAAAAAAAATGGATGATCATGAAAAATACAAGATCATTATAGGATCATGTAAGTTTAAGGCATGTATTTAAAATTCAAAACTTGTTAGTGGGCTTCTGAACAACGCTGGCCACCACATTGAAGCAGAAGCAGCAGGGTGTGTCCTACCTGGATGAGGCAGCCAATCATATTGCAGCGGGGTGTTATCTTCCTGCAGCGAATGCTTGCTCTAAGCATGGCTGCATCACGAGCAGTTCAAATCCATCCTGATCAAGGCACAGACTATTTCATACAGAAACCAAAACTCCAAGACAAATTTCAGAGCTCGATCAAACTTAAGAAAATTGAAAGAGTTAGCCAGCAGGCTAATGGCTAGGTCATTAGCCTTGGCGGAGGTCAGGAGTTAAGACGCTTCTTACGGTCCAAAAATCAAGACCGAAAATGTTCCCATTCAGTTTTAGCCCCACCCTTCATCCTCAGTGCTCTGCTGATTGGCCCACTGGGGACAGTAACGTGGGAGGGCAGTGGGCGGTGGGCGGCCCCAAACGCACGTTGGCTGTGCATGGCCCTGAAGGTACGTGGGCCCACCCTGCCGGTACGTGGGCCCACCCTGCCGGTACGTGGGCCCACCCTGCCGGTACGTGGGCCCACCCTGCCGGTACGTGGGCCCACCCTTCCAGTTGGCAGCATGGGGAAATGCCCTTCTGGAGGGGATGGAGGCAGGATGTGCAGGCGGGAACGGAAGCAGGCTGCTTCTTGGGGGCCGGTAATGTTGGGCGCTTTCATGTTGGGGCCGCTCATATTGGGAACATTCATATGGGGGTCGGCTATTGCCTCCTTTTGGGAAAAATCTGCAGGAAGTAGGAGGGAAAAAAAAAACTGTTGGTGAGTGTCTCCTATCACGCACGCACGCGTAGACACACAAACACACACCGGGGGCTGTCATTTTGGGGCGACTCAAGCGGTTGTTGTCTTGTAGCTCTTGGTGAGAAAAATCTGCAGGAAGTGATACAAAAACAAAAAACGGTGAGCGAATGCCTTTCTCTCTCTCACACACACACACACACACACACACACACACACACACGCGCGCGCGCGCACGCGCACACACACACACACACACACACTGTGTAAACAAACAAATAACATTCGTGACCTTAGAAATTTTCAATACCCCCAATCTTCGAGTTGTGTTCCTCCCGCCAGCTACACGCCGCAACGTACTGAAATTCATTTCCAATTTGCAGCAGCTGTTTATGAGCCTGTGCAGTATTGTTCATTCGGATGTATATCCCTTTCTCGAAAAACTTGGACACGCTCCGCTCGAAGGATTACAGTGTCAATCTTAAATTAATTTAGCAGTTAGAATGGCTTTTCCATCTGCCCCCGTCATCCCTTGTTGAGAAGCACACTTGTAGCTCTGATGACTGAGTGTGTATGTGTGTGAGCGTGAACTTAACGCCTTAGAGCCCGCGCGAACCGGTGCCCGTACCTGCAAGTGTGGCTGCCGCCGCCCCAACGTCCGCCTGAAGGCGCACTACCGGCAGCCGCACGACCGGCAGCCGGTGTCCGATTGACGGCTTGTCCTGGCGCCGACGTTGGCGGACGATTGTCTATGCCCTCATTGCTGCCCAGACAAAAGCATGTGTGAGCAGGACAGGCACGCACACACGCAATAAGTATACAAGCAAAGGCGCACATGCCCACATGCCAGCCGTAACGCTTGTGCTACCTTCTCCGTGGGCCAGTGCGAAGGTCATCGATGTAGTTGCTTCTCTCCATGTTGTGACCGCGACTCGAGTTAAACACTGAAAACACACACACGCAAGGGCACGCATTCATGTCCCATGCAAACACGCCTCGTGTGCGCTTGTGTGTGTGCAACTTACGTTTTATGGCCTTGGCGGGATCCATCTCGTCCACGTCTATGAGATACCTGACACGCAGGAAAAACATGCGGTAAAGACAGTGTCGCCTGGCACACCTCAATCAACCACGTACGCATTCGCACGCCCAAACACATACACTCCCTCTCCGCATTTGCCACACACACACTTAATGACTACGTGAAGCACATGCACCTGCAAATCATGTAGCCAGTACGGTTGAGTCCGTGCGTGCAGTGGACGCCGATCAGCTTGTCTGCAAAGTGGAAAGGTGAGGTCAGCCCAGCAACCAAAGGAGGTTGCGACGGGTAGCGGCAAGGCTGACCGTTGTGTACGTTATCTCGAAGGAATTGGCGGACGGCTTGCTTAAAGGCCAGAACGGGACCGTCGGCGGGGACCACGTGACCCTCCGTGGGGATCTTGACGCAGCGCAGTGAAGTTGGAAGGTCCTGCAGCAGGGGGCGGAAGGGGGTGGTGATCGAACAAACCATACTGATTGGCACACAAGAGCCTACGTTGTCTGGCAACATAGAATCTTGCCATACAAACCGTCACGCAGAACCAGATGGGACTGCTTTCCACCGAGAATAGTGGTCCAATTCGGCTTGCCATCCCACACACATTTCCAGGAAACTTTCCCATTAAATGACACTCTTCAAAAGGTTTAAAAACAAACCCTAATTGGGTTACTGTGCACCCACATTTGGTTGCATATAACACACCAATTATGAAAGGGGAAGTCAAGTCCAAAACTTTGTTGCCAATTATGTATAATATGCATTCCTACTAGTCTAAGCTCAACATTCGGATAAAAATTGCCGCCTCCTCTTAACTCCCATGCAAAGTTTCCAGGTTTGCGTGAAACGGTCAAGGAATAGAAGGTGCCGGCCAAACGAGCGATACCTGGGGCCCATAGTAGCGCGTGGTGAAGGTCAGGTCAATAACAAGTCCCAGTTCTTGTTGGTCTTCCTGCATGGCGTCCAACAGCTCCCACGGTCCGAAGACCTGAGCGGGCTCGAGGCCTCGGTTTAGAGACTGAATGGGAATGCTGTTAGCATTTGCAACAGTTTCCCAGGCATGACGCCAGATGATGACGCGCTCACCTGCTTGAGAGGAACCTTGAAAGCCACAAAACGAGTCCCGCCTAGTCGCTTGCCCACAGCCTTGTAGTCCAGCCATCTGTGCGCACACACACACACACACACACACACACACACACACACACACACACACACACACACACACACACACACACACACACACACACATATCTAGCCTAAGAGTAGTTCTCATAGTCAATCCCAAGGGTCTGCAAACTATGGAATCAATCCTATGCAATCAAACCTATGTGGAAAATAAGCCAACCAGTGGCTCACCCATTGAGAAAAATCTTAACGTGGCTTTATGTTCGAAAACTACAACCAATCGTCACCAAAAATCACGTGCACAACTCTACCTATGCCCACATCTCGATCTATGAAAATATTAAAACAATATCCTCAATATTTGGGATTTTATGGACATGAAGCGTTTTCCTCGTTAAGCAACATCACGCTGCAATCAGCAGCTATGGAGAGGAATACGTTGATGTCCATAAAGTTCAAAATATTGCTGCGGATTTTGTTAAAGCTTGATCGCAGTTTTGTGACATCAAGTGACATTCAGCTTTTTTTTCACTCGGGGGGGGGGGGACACTTAATGCCCGTAAAATCCAATGTAATTTGCGATTTTTTTTACATTAAGCATTTTAAACTGTCACACAAATTTTCAAGCTTGACATGAGTTTTGAGCTTGTGTTCAAGCAAGTCGTCTCACCTGTCCGGAATTGAATTTTTTCGGCCGTAGCGGGGCATTTTCCGTGTTGTCCTCCGCTTCCAAATAAATTTAAAAAAAACTGTTTGCAAACGAACTTCTATTGCTCGTAGATGTTTCTCACGTCCGCCGAATTGCTTCCGTCAGTCATGAGGCGACGCGCGTAGATGACGTCACCAGAGGGTGTCCGGTCCGCAGCTGCTTCAGGGACCACACAAGCCGTGGGAGTTATGGCACTTGAGTTTGTCGTTGTTGATCGAAATTACGATGATTGTCGCTGCTTTTGATGTATTCGGTTTGTTTCTAGCCTTCTTTCGGATCGCCGTCTTGTGTGTTCTGATCATGACTAGTCTGCTACTCGTACCAGACTGGGAGAAATGTTTACGAAAAGCACGTCAAAACTCAAATTTTGCCTTCTGCTTGCCGAAAGGAAAACCACCTAGATGAGCTAACAAAACTATCATCAATGTTGAGGTAGTTAGAGTAAAAGTCTTTATGCAAATGATGCAGCAGGACATGTAGATGGACAACATAACAACAATCACGGGCGTATTTTCTTTATCTTCTCCAAAGAATGAGTAACATTACTGCAGTTTATCGAGTAGTTGTGAAAGTCTTGTCTTCAAAACTGGGTTATACTGCCCCCAGTGGTCAAATCAGGCACAATTAAGTCATCATGCACAATCTGTTTTAAGCCTTCCATCGGTCAAAAATTTTCAGTTAATCGCAGAACATTGAACGCGTCATTCGTCACGTTCTGAAAACTGCAAACACGCGAGCCACGTTGAACTTCTCGTACTTCCGTTTCTTCGAAACAACACATGCGGCAATTATGCGTTTTTACATATACCGGTAGTTATAAAACAACAACAAAAGCTGCCATTCACAACAGTCTGCCCTGAGCAGACCTCCGCGTTCACACGTAAAACCAAAGGAGTAGGAAATCTGCAACATTTTTTTTCACGCACTTTCTCCACGAGGACAATGAAAGTTAAGGGTCATAAATTGCACCTTGAATTTTTGCTTGTGAAACGGAATTATTTTGATCAACAAGAGCACTTTTGTTACCAATTTGATCGTAAAGGGCGTCTTGGATGCATATTTACTCACCAAACACCGTCATCACCAACGTTCAAATAAATTTGTTCTATTTCATGATGTTATTAAACCTAAAGTAGAATTTTGGCAAGCGCTGTCTTCCTTTTCAAAAAAACATCATGCAACATGAAAGGGCAGCTTTAGGGGCGCGTATAATATCCGTGTGAATGGGTGTGGTTCTCCAAAAAAATTCTGGTGTGCCCACAACTGTAAAGTCAATTAAAGTTTTTAAGAGGGAGCGCTCACCCGTCGCTGTTGTTCTTTCTCCCGCTCTTCTTCTTCCCTTTGCTTCTGCAGTAGTCTGACAAATAGTACACACACACACACACACACACACACACGCTTTTATCTGCATTTAATGTCATTTTAAGCCTTGCAGAAACACAGACCCTCAGGGTCACATGACAGCCAGTGAGCAACTTTGACAGTGATGACTCACACTCAGTTGTTTACCCATCTGCGACAAGTTCATCATCATCAGCAAGTTCATCATCATCACGTGCTTTGAGACTTGATGACACAGCATGGGGTGAAATTGAGAATATTTATTTGTGTTTATAAAAGTTTGCAGTTTGTAAGTGAAAATGAGGCAAAACGAATGACGACAAAGTCAAATATTGACCACAAACTTGTCGTTTTCCCCAACAATATTTTTTTTTCAACTTTTTTTTTTAAACACCTTGATGGCTGATTGACCGGCCACCACTCAAAGCCGATTGGCTTATCTGTAGGAGGAGGAGGAGGAGGATGGGTCCAAGGTGGATTTGGGTGGCGCAAGCGTACTGCGCAGCGGCTTAGTGGTGAGGGCGAGCGGTTGGTCAGCGCCCGGCGACAAGCGGCCACTGTGGCCGCAGTTGGAGTACGCGTGAGAGTGTGTGTGTTCAGTGTACGTGGGCGCGGGGGCGGCGGGTGACGCCAACGCCGCCGTGGGCGTGGCCGGGGAGTCCACGGAGGAGGCGGGGCTGGCCTGGGACAGGTGCGTGTGCGTGAGATGGGAGACTGTCTGGGGGCGGGACAGGTGGGCGCGTGTGTGCGCACTGGAGGTCGATGTGTGTGCGCGGGTTTGCGTGAGGAGAGTGTGTGCGTGAGGTGCCTCGTCGTGCACGGGGGACAGGTGCGTACGCTTGGGCGGCGGTGGAGAATCGTCTGTGGCGGCTGAAAAACAACGCGTGCAAGGGTGAGTGGCAACAACATATCATCACTGCCTGTCATGCGTTGCTATCACAACACGGCTGCCTTACTCTCTTGATGGCTTCCGCCCTTGAATTTCTTCCTCTTCTTCTTCTTGCCCTGATCATGCACAAAAAGACACACACCGACAAAGGATTAATAACATCAGTGAAGAGCGGTGCACGTGGCGTGCGTGGGTATACGGACGTAGTTGTCTCTGGCCGACCATCCGGGGTAAAGTTGCGAGTGCAGCAGCCGCTCTTTCCGGGCCAGCTCGTAGTATTTGGCCTGCTCGTCCTTGCTCAGAGAATGCCACTGTAAACACACACATTAAAGCATTACCACACACACACACACACACACACACACACACACACACACACACACACACACACACACACACACACACACACACACACACACACACACACAGGCAGGCCCTGACCCGCTGTCCCATCCGGGCAAGTAAAAACTGATGCCCATGTGGAGGCAACATTAAACAAATCCATTAGAGAGCTCAGAGAATAAATAAAGGACTAAGTGCCTCCGCTGAAATTCCGGTTTGGTTTTCTTTGCATTTTTTTCACTGCGTTTTCCATAACAATAAACTATGCTGTGTCTTGTGTGCCTCTTAAAATGCATCTATGAATAAATAATGTCAGTACCAAATGATTGAAAAAGCTATATTGCCAGAAAGCCATGATGAAATGATAATGTAATATCTGTCCCAGTTTTGAATTAAAGCATGCCCACTCCATTCTTCACTTTGAAATGATTCCTCAGTTAAATGAAAGCACAAGCCCTGCTGATGCACCTTATATCGCCTGATGACATTCGATGTACATTTTCCACTGCTGTGCATATTTTAATAAAGGCAATGTCTCTTTCTATGCATATGTGTGCTGTGTGGTTGTTTGAAGACAGTGATGTCGAGATGAATACCATTTTCTCCAAGTGATTTTTTGACTAATTGGCAGGGAATGCATATCTCATCTCACAGGCTGATGTTTGTAGTTGGGAAAAAAAGATGCATCACTCGGAGGCTTGGAGTGATGCAGATCACGACTCCCCTCCCTTCCTCCTACTTCCTCACCCAACACTGGCTGATTAAACTGATAAACTGCACCAAAATGAGGGGGAGAAGGAGATGTAAATAATGTAATAGGAGAGTGTTAAAGTGAAAGTCTGTGGGAGAGGTGAGAGGAGAGATGGAGAGGGGGCGGGGGCCAAAGCACAGCACAGAAATGTATGAATAACATCAGCATCTCCGTACATTATGGCTAATATGTTTAATATCACTTGCTTCATTTCACAATTTCTTTTTTATTATTGTGACCTTTCAAGCTCTGTCCTCACATTGAACCATAGTGTCAGACAGTTAACCATATACACACACAAACCCACACACATAATGTAAATGCTTTATTAGGAGCTGTACCATCATGTGGCTTTGATATGTTCTCATTAGCATATCAACACAGAGCTGGCCATCCGATGGGATACAGTAACCAAGGCAACCGTGGCTGGATGCTCAATTATGGGAACTGGAGGGACAAATTGAGTCTCCCGGACTTCATTTTAATCTGTCAACCCTCACAAGAGTGACCAAGTGCATCATAAAATTTGCACCCACAAGTGAAATCAAAGATTTGTTGTGCAACTCTAAGTGTGTTGCTGACAGTCAAAATATTTTATTCATATGCGTACTTTTGGTATCTTTCTCTCTCTCTCTCTCTCTCTCTCTCTCTCT